TGGTGTGTGTTGGGGGGGGTGGTGGGGGGGGGGGGGTAGGTCAGTCGAAAGTTCAATAGCCGTATAAAGGGATATGCAATCCGGTAAATGAATAGTTTAGAGCCCAAATATTATTCATTGAAAAAAAAAAGTTTTTTCTGTAAGACTAAAAGGATTTTAAAGATATGAAAAACAGAAAATGTTCGCCGGAAATTATGTATTTTACTTAACACTGTGAAAATAAAAGTTATATTGACTCAAATCATAATGAATGAAATAAAAACAACAGAATAAATTGTTTTCGAGAATATTTGTGGAAGACAGTATGGAAGACACTATGGATGTACACAGCGCAAATAAATATAATTAAAGTATTTTGAAAGGTGACAAACTTATTTTGACAATGGATTTTTACGATGGATTGCCAAAAATGCAATAATATTGTATACTAGTACTCGGTTGAAAATTTCGTAATGTACACAGAACAATCCTGAGCCACGTTTACCATATTTCGTGAATTATTATAAAGTACAACTCTGTTCATCAAATATCTTATGCATTAAACATTGTTTCGCTAACATACATTATATTACACTTTCGTGGATATATAATCACGTATATTTACCATCATTATAAAATATTATACTATACAAGTACCTCTGAAACGAATGGAAATCGAAAGCATACATATTGCATGGCAAATGAACACGTATATTAACCCAAGAACTACCCTTGTTTAAAACACCAAATCAATCAATCTCTAATCAAATATTTATTATAAATGGCCTTCTGGGTGGAAATAATCAACTCTATGCAACTCATTAAACGTATTGACAAATTACTTAAGTGCGTATACTTAGTAATGCTGGTGTCAGGAAATCAACTTAACCCTGATTATGTTAGGACGGTTATCTTAGACGTGACCACTGGGCATTTCAATTCTGTGACCTGCGGCAACCTCGTTACTCCATTTTCTGGACGATCAATGAATAAAAGGGACGCTTGATCTACTCTGGTGTGAGTACAAATCTATGTCGTTTAACACAGAGTTTGACAGTATCAGTTTTTGCCAACGGGCGCATCATCAGTCTTTATTGGTGGTGTTACCGTCGTAGTATGGACACATGCTAATTTTCATGGTATTAACAAAACCAGTGGTGTCTATAGGGGCCTATGTTTTAGTGTCAGCATGGACCTGTGTCAGAAATAGAGTGGTTACTTTATGGCCGAATGGCAGTTAAGCCAATTTAGGCCCGTGTCAGAAAGAAGATTTTGACCTTAACCATGGTCATTGTTTGGGCTTATGTCTTTGGTGCCAATGTGGGCCCGTGTCAGAAAGAAGACGTTGACGTAAACCAGTGGCCATTATTTGGGCCTATGTCAATGGTGCCAATAAAGGCCTGAGTCAGAATGATGACATTGGCCTAAGCCAGTGATGCCAGGCTGTAAAAGGACAGACCTGTCAGTGGCGCGGTTCCTAATTTTAGCAACCATGAGCAACTAAATGTGTTTAAGGTTCTGAAAGTACCAGTGTGACCTGTGCAGTATTCCCTTCACTTAAGAAAGAACAGAGGAAAAGGTTAAGGAAAATATTTCTTTTTATTTGACAAAATGTAGAAAGGGAACAAAATCACAAAAACATTGGATACAAACAACAGAATAATAAATATGGTACAAATAGGCCTTTACCGGTGTGCATTTTTCTCCGTATTGTTGATCGCTACAACAGTACAAGCAGAGCGGAAATATGCCCCCAAGGACACAATTACAGCAATTGATAAGCATGACTCAATATACATTTTACTGTCTTTGAACAGCAGAATACATCACTATTCAAAATAATTCTCTGTTGCATATTATATAGATTTTTCGAAGAGATGGCCGTACGAAAAACATTAAATATATGGTCCACGGCACGCCATTTTCTTGTTATAACGTGTTTGCAATGTTGAACTGTCTCGCAGAAATTACTTTTCATTGATATAATAAAAGCGGCATGACCCTTATATAAAAAAATATTAATAGATCTTTGTGACCTGTTGTCTTCGAGTCGATCTGGAATGTATTTTTCGGCTATATATAATTAAATGTGACACTACAACCTAATAGGATATAGAGAGTTTGGCCCACACTATTCAAGTATAATAAAGAACGTTAATGTAAAGAACGTCGTATTCCTTTCTCTACATCTATGAAAAAATATTTTTATTTCACTTCAAAAATTCGATTTTAAAATAGACATCTTATTGGATATTATCAATACCAACGTACATGTGTTATCGACATCGGTAACCATGCACACACACACGTGTTCTCATTGGGAGATTTAAGTTAATTGCTCATACTTCCATGGAGTCCCGTGACATTTCGTAGAGTGCTGGCAGCAGAGTTAATGGTAAAAATCGCCACAGCCATTTGCCTCTTAACGAGCTGCCACTGTTTCATCCGTTCGTCTGGTGCTTTGCTCTCTATGTCAAACAGTGCGTCGGTGAGCCCAGGGAATCCCGAGCTGGCGTAGGTGTTCTTACTGCTCGGCGCGAATATAACGTGCCTGTAATGGAGGACAACATTAAGACATTGTTTTTCGAGTGCCACGTGTGTGTGTGTGTGTGTGGGAGGAGGGGGGGGGGAGCCACAGGAGAGAGAGGAGAATATGATTTTTTTTCAATTTAAGTAAGAATAAGGAAGGAAAAAATAAGAGAAAGAGAAGCTGTGGTTGGCAATCATGACTAGTTTACTATTTTCACTTCTGAAGTTAGTATACTGGTACACACTTCATGAGAGGCCGACCGGGCAGCCCAGCGGGATCAGTGAATCCCCGCTCCAAAAGCATCATCTGGTCATTAACACGTCTCACGGCAAAGGGGCTGGAATGGTAAATCGAAGAATTAGACATCTAAAAACAGTGCTGGTTTTGGACGCCAGATGGCGGGAGTGCGCGTTCCTTACACTCAAACGCGTGACTTCCTTCTGGTTCTTTTTTTACATCTTGAACCGTTTAATACATCGTAGTGCCAAATAACATTAAAGACATTTTGTCATGGGGTAGAGAGGCCTCGTTCAATTTCTTAGGAGATCTGACCATTTATAGATATCAATGTTAATATAGCAAAAGAATCTACTGCTGCATGTATGTAATAGGTAGCATGCGTGTCACTATTTCATGATCTTGTGGAATCAGTGGTTTCCATTCTGACAAGGGGGCAATATCCGCCACAAAACCACGCGAAAAAGAAATTTGATGATGTAATGTATTATCATTCATATTCATAGTAGCTAAGATAATCTTATCCTGTGTTATATGCGTTTCTGATTGATTTGGATTAGGGTGGGGCATCTTACAGAATGCACTTCGAATTGTTAACTTACTCTTTCTTGTTAATGTTTTGTACTTCTTCGTGAAAAGCGTCTGCAACACGACGGAATTCGTTCACTGCTTTGGTAAGATTTCCTGGCAAATAAAAGGGACCGATATAAATATACAACAGATATGTGTTATAATTATGAAAGTTTCGCTGATGACAGCAAGATACACTGCATGCCTGACAAATACACAGAACCTCACATGCAACTTTTAAAGAAGTAGACTACAGCAATCATGCCTATTTTCTAATCTATCGGTACCAGTTTTATACGGCTCAAAGGGTAACCCTTGAAGGTTGGAAGGGTACTTTAAAGATCATGCAGTGGCTAAGCCCTAGAGACACTGGTAAGATAATTCAATCTGCTCCTGTCTAAATCAGGCCTAAAAATGGAATTACGGTTTGTAACTTGGAGCCTGCGATCTCTGAATTATTGACGATTGTAAAAATACTTGCTGTCATGATAAGCTACGATAAATGATACATAACTTACCTAAAGAAACACCATTACTGTTCAGCCAGGTCTCATTGTTTGTGTCTTTGAAATTCTTGAGCATGGTTTCAAGTTTCGTTGCATATCCTCTGACGTCCATTGGCAATATGGCGGTGTCCGCCAAATACCTGGCGATCTCCCCACAGATACGGCAAAGCGACTGGTGCCATTTAAATGTGGGATCAGTGTAGTTTGTTACCAAGAGGAAAGTTTCGTAAACAGAGTGATACAGAGGGTAACTGGATATGTTCCATTCTTCCTATGTAAATAAGAAATGTAAGTAGCGTTTTGCTGGTAATTTGAAGACAAAACGACACTTAAAGACTTGTAACTTTGTATGTTCGTTGTTAGGCATGGTTTTAAATATAATGGGAAAACAAATCAAAACACACGACATTCAAAGTTCAATATCATGTTTGTTTCTTGTTGTTTAGATTCGCCTTGTCTTTTCAGAATCCGCAAATTAAATAAACTAAAATATATTCTATGTCACAAATAAAAACCGCACCTACATAGATAACTTACATCAACGATAGTATTACATGCGGTGACAGCGTGATTCTTGAATGGCGTTACAAACTTACATCATCATAAAAGTAGCACAGATCAATTGAAGGAATCCCGGCTCTTAGAAAGAAGGGGGCAAAGTCGCTGCCCGATCCAAGATCCCGGATCCTTTTAGAAAAAAATTAATTTATGTAATCAATCAATATTTTAAATGTTGTTTTTCATTATTGGGGGGCAATTATACTGGTAGTTTTCCCCATTTGCTCTTCCTAAAAAGATAAAAAGTTGCAACGGATTATTAGAGAATCGACATTGCGTCGTAATAACAACGAAGGCTTCCTTCTTTAAAATGTTCAATACAAGTACCTTAAGAGCCTCTACTGTACATGTATTAATGGCAATTGGCAGTGAACCTGAGAAACAAATTCGAACAGATATCACATGACAATTATGATACTTTCATATATCTAGTGATGTGCTATTTTTTTAATGATAATTATAATTATAATAATAATAAATAAACTGAAAGCCATAAATAAATTGAAAGTGGTAAGCATTTGAAAATAACAACATGCACGAACTTCGGTTTCTGACTCGGGTTGGTCCTCTTCTGCCAGGAATCATAAACATTGCTGAACATCGTACTTTCTGGGTCAGGGACCTAATATGAATTGACACAATGTGAAAATCACAGTGAAATCAATGTACAATGTAGCTTCCACAAGTTTCATAGACGCTCAACGTAGGAAATTGGTATTTTTTCCAAAAAGAGAATTTGGTCGTATAAGTTCTATCCTACATGTTACACACCACATTGTTGTCAACTATTAACATTTACATTTTTGCTATGCATTTTTGCTCAAAATTGTTATAAATAATCGACAATAGGTATTGAAAGCTTGTACAAAACTTGTTCAATGCCTGCAACCCTGACATTGTGTTATGAAAATTATCCATTATTTTACCACTTTCGTGGCAGCATACACCGCCTCATATAGAAGCGGCGATGCCCCAACACTAAGTTTGTAATGGTACTCCACGGCGATATCAACGTTGATGTATGCCACTGCCCTCTCCCCGAGAGCTTTAATGTACTGCTCAACCCACTCAGTGGACCCAATCACTGCGTATTCTTCCGCACCCCAGCTACCAAACATTATGGTTCTACGTGGCCTCCAACCTTTAATATAAAAATTGCACAGTCAGTACATACATGAAATATCATGGCCATTTCCTCCAAGACCCACCCTTAGTAGATATTGAAAAATAAATTGGCTAATATATTTCCGGAAATATTCTTGAGGATTGAACTCTTAATGGCGTAACTGATATTTCAACTTATAGATCTAACGATTAAAATCCATGAAGCAGACACTGTACATTTATATTCAAAGGGAATTTCTTTCAGCCAATGCCATAACATTCATAGTTTGTCATTTTCCGCGCATATTTTCGGACTTTGGTGTTAACTGGGAGATTATACACCTTAAAATGATTTAAATATGGCAATTATATGGCATATATTAATTGTAAAACCTAAGAATAGCCTTTACACTTTCATGCGTCTAATCCAGGTGACAGTCCAAGGCATAAATCATCTTGAAATATGATGGCCCTAGTCAACGGCACCACCATCACGACTGCTCTGAGTGTGATTTATTGCATTAGAATGATACGCTGGTATGTTTCTTACTTAAGAATTACCGTTTGAAATGCCGAAATTGCAGAAAATAAACAGGACAAAATTTCAGTCTAAATAATTTAGTGCAAGAATTACGGCATATAGACTCATTCTATTCCACGTGATCTCTTAAAAACTTAGATACCACCTAAAGGCTTAGTTAATGTTACCTTCCTTGACCAGGCTCCCCAGGGCCCTTGTCAGCTCCAGAAGGACGGCGGTCCCACTGGTGGGGTCCACGGCACCGTACGCCCAGGCATCACGGTGGTTCCCAACGATCACATAGCGGTCTGGACGCGAGATTTGTACGATATAACCATGGTGCATTTTGTAACCTCGATGATAATGATTATTTTTATTGCTGTCGATATGCATAAACAATGGAGCGCAGACAAGTTAAACTGATTAAGTTTAATATAAGCGTGAATATAGAAAAAAAAACAGTCGCTTTTCAGAGCATCCGTGTGTAACAATACCATCTAACACATGAAGTAAAGGAACATTTTTGTGTAATCTCGATTATCATGATTATATTGATAATAAAGATAAAATAATAAAAACCCTGTTGTTACCTGGTTCCACTGCCCCTCGTATTATCCCAATGGCATTGTAGGTTGTTCTGATCTCTCTCGTGTTATGATTCACTACTCTCAGCGTTCTGAATAAAGTTTATTTATCTCTAATAAACACTTGACGAATTCTAATGCATAAATTGGTTTGTTAATGCATTACAGTTCGAAAGAGTATACGGCATTATACAGAATTTTATATTTTACAAACATATTACAAAGGACAAAACATTTACATCTAATATTTGTTTAATGTTTGGAGACAGATAATGACGTTCAGAAATGAAAACGCGTGAATCTTAAAATGTGAATAAGTTTTGAGCAAAAGATCTTTTGTCATTAGATAACTTTTGTGAGCTAAAATGTATAAGATAAATTTAAGCACAGTCTCATTTATGATCTGTTCTAGCAGTTGGCAAAAGAACCTTAATGTTGAAAACCAACTTAGTAATTCTTTTGGTTTTACTTGTAATGCACTAACCATCTTAGCACCCCATCCAAATTCAGCGAGAGACCATCGTGCGCCTAAACGTAAATAAATAAATAAATAAATAAAAACCAAAACATTATCATCGTTCCTGGGTTATAACATACAAATACCTTACTATAAGTTTCATTGGACTTACTTATTGTCCATTAAATAACCCCCAAATTTGTATGTGACATTTGATATTGCCCCTCTCCACGAAGCAGGTACTTCCTCTCCACTCATTGTGTTGAGTAGCTCCTTGGCATAATCGTAGCCGATAGGGTGCGCTGGTATCTGCGGCATCTCCATTTTCTTCTCCAGCTCTTCTATGGGCTCGCGATAAGAGTAATCTAAAATAAAGATACCATTTCAAACTTACCAGAAAGATTAATTAAGAAGGCACTAAGAGATTTTTAATCTAAGAATTTTTAATAAAATTCGTGCACATTTTTATCCACGTACTGAAAGACTCTAGTTTCAGTTCCATATCATCATCTCTCATTACAGAACACTTCATTACGGCAAGTGAGTTAAATGTTGCTTCAATGGACAACGTTGCAAAACGGGGACTTTTTTCCAAGACACATTTAAAATCCTAACCCACAACTGATCCATGTCCAAGAAAACTAAAGCAGCGAGTTGTTATTTAAAGATCAAACCCAGCAGTTGGCCGAAATACTGTCGATCTTAAATTAAAACTCTACTACTAATAAGATTTGCCAATTCTTCATTTTCTTTATTTTCTCCTCTTTAGTAATGATGTCAACGATCACCAGACATAACCCTATAGTCAGTCCACTTACCAACAGCTGGATACCCAGGGGTCAGGGGGTCGCCATTACCAATGAAAGTTGACCCCCTTTGTACTCCTGTGCCGGGTAACCACCAGGAATTGGGGAAAACGGCTCCATTGGGGTCAACAGCGTAATCCTTGGGGTCCGAGTATAGGATAATAGCAGACGCATTGAACATAGTGGCATGACGAACCTGAGAGAAGAATGCATTGCTATGATGTGTCTTTTTCAAAATTGTTATACATTTAAATATGAAGGATAATATTTTTGTGCAAGTTTAATAAATTAAAGATAAACGGATTTCCATATTTGTGGGGTATGATGTACAGCAAAATCTAAATAACGTTACAATGTTAGCGTGACAGGGAAGCGTGGAGGAGGTATTCAGAGGGGAAATTTGCTTAATAACAATCTAAACAGAAGCATAACTTAACAAATTTGTTTTGATCATGAATTGTCATAGTACTATTTATCTGTCGGAGATGACCCATTTTACTTTTTAGCCCGACGTAATTAAAATCAGTAATCGCGGCTAAAAGGTGCTACATGTATATACTCGCTTGGCTCAGTGATTACACGGAAACGCACTAAGAGACAAGACTCAGGTCGTCAGGTTCTGTTTCTACTTATTCTTTTACTTAATTCCCATTCCCTTTCTCCTATCTGCAAAGAAAGATTTAGTCAACAATATCAATATTTGATTGGTTCTTTTTGCGGAATATTGCGCGTTGGCCTGGGTTATTGTTATCTGCATGTATTTCTACCGTCTACGTAAATCCTCGGCATTCCGTCATGGAGCTCTTTAAATTAATTTTTAGCTTATAAAGATTGACAGTTAAATATTGTCATGCAGTGTATCTGCATCTATCAGGGCTGGCGTATGCTACCAATATTTTATGACATGAAATAGTGATAATAAATTAATAAATTAGTAATAGATATAACCGCTTGCTCTACTATACCTTATCTCCCCTGAAAATTTTCCCGTATCTGGCTATGACAATAGCACCGTTCAAGTCAATGCTTTTGTTGCGCGTTATGAAAAAGAAGTCTTCAATTCGTCCGTAGTTTACGTACACGAGTCTGCTATTCTAAAAATCACCACAAGAGAACATCAGCAAAGTATTAGTGCATTTTAGGACACACACACACACATACACACACACATACACACACACAATCACACACACACTGAAAAATTGAATAATTAGATGAATGGACAAGATTTGATAAAACTGTCATCAAAAGTAAAGAACTTAATCATTTGCCAAATACATCCGCATTTAATGGTCAGATTCATACCTCTACGGTACCATTCTTTGAGTAGGCGTTAAATGGCGGGGGTGCTCGGGGATCCTTGGTGCTAGACGCCTTATCTAGGGCGGCCTCCTCGAGGGGAGTCTGCCAAATGACATTGCCGTTACTGTCTAGAATCTGAGCCTGAAATAGTACATGTATGTAACTCAAAGTACGTAATAAACATCGGCAAAGAATAATAGTCTTCATTATTAGATTTTTGCAACCAAATGCTTACTCATCCTGGAGAGGCAATTCAGGGCATTTCAAGTAGTATAAAACACGTCCGATTTGAACGGTGGGCTATGGACCCGTGTCTAAATTTAATAAAAGATCATATTGGACAATCTCGTGAGTCTAAGATGATCGTGTTTTCTACGTGACCCAGCAATAGAAGAAAAGGAGATTAAAAGATTCGCAAAAGTGAAGACGTCTTTTCAAAGCAGCAGACTGGGTTTTAATGAACTTTCCAACTTTCCAACTTGGAAATATGAAAAAATGACAAAATGTGACTTTGACTATGTGATTTTTTTTCAGAAATATTTGTATGCTAAAAAGGTGAAGAAGAAGGAAAAGGAGAAAATCATATACCTTACTTCAAACTTAAAAGTCAGTTGTTCCTGTTGAACCACCTAAAGCTGTGTTTGCACTCACCTTGTTTGCCGTGTTGTTGCTTGTTTTATTTCCAGGATAGGAAAGGAGAACATCATACGGCACCAAGACAGCGTCATCTAAACCTTGTTCCAGCCATTTTTTACGAAGATCCTCGGCTGTTGTAAAATCCTCTGCAGTGCCGGCTACGTGAGGGTACCTTGTCATTTCCCTTGAAAGAAAAATTCCACAGTCTACGGCTATATTTATTGTACTTTTTTTTTCGCTTAAAAAGGCTTATTTTCAATTTTTAATAAAACATGTATCCGATTAAGCATCACATATTAGGAAAGTGTGTAAATCAGAGCTTATTTTAGTGCGTAAAGGGATAACAGCTCTTCGTATAAAATCTATATTTTACAATAAATACATTGGAAACAACTCATAGATGTATAATATATTCTTTTTTACCACAAAACAGCGCTTATAGCAATAAATCTGAAATTTGTGCTTGCCATCCGACCACGTGACCTCTATAGATGGCTATACTCTGTATTAATCTCTTAAGAGATTATTACAAAAAAGCAAACTTTTTAGAAAAAAAAATAGGGACTAACTTTGAATGTAGAAATGGATTCATTAACCATTGGTATGTATGGGAAATAGCTGTTTACCCCAGGAAAATTAATTTTTTGGACAAAATGAACAGTTGTTATCCCTTTAAGGAATGTCTAAGATTCTTCACCTCATTGGCAGCAAAAAACAGAGCTACTCATCCATGGATTTGTGACTTTTAGACTCGATTATTTACAATTCTCCTTTTTAGGAATACCTATCAAATGAAAAAACTTCAGTCTATTCAAAATTTAGTCGCAGTCTTCTCCGTAGAACTCACAAGTCCGATCATATTACGCTAGGTCTACGTGATCTGCATTAGTTACCTGGTATATATTCATCAAATATCAATTAAATATCAAGTTTTACACTGAGTTCTTTCAGCGCTTTCAGGCCAAAAACTTGACCCCTTCTTGATATTAAGAGTTCCCTATCAAAATAAAAAAGCCCCCCTTTGTTTTAAGTGCGCTTATGACGATATCATACAACCGTGACCTTCTTTAACGGTGCACATGCACACAATGGACAATATAAGTGTCACCCCCTGAATCAGAGTAATCAAATAATGATCAGTAATCAATAATCAAAGTAGGCAGGTCTTGAGTAGTTATAATGCCTGGTCTACATTTTTTTGCCAGGAGCATATCATTCCACAGTCATTTATCTCCCCCAAAGTATTGGTTCAGTAGGGGTGACACTTCTATTGCCCATTGTGTGTAGGTAGGTTTAGCCCGATGTCAATGGTAATGGGTTACTGTTATTTATATATAAGAATACCTGCAGCTGACATTGTTGTGTGAGCCTGTGCTTTTAAAACAATCATCGCATGCAGTAGACTTGGGATACCACTATATATTTAGAGAAGGGTCGCACTTTGTATAGCCCCAGTATTGCTGATTATCTATTATTTCTACATGTAAATTTATGTATTAAAAAGAAAACGGTTCCACGCATACCGTAAATTCTCACGAATGTTTTCTGCTTTGATTCCCTCAAGAAGTTTCTGCTGAACAGATAAGTCTCCACCTTCAGCTAATTTCAGGAACACCTTGTACGCTGTACTCTCTTCGCTTGCCGCTGCGCTGTCGGCGTTTTTTGCAGAAAAATATCCAATAAGCACCCCTGTGACGATACCAACTATAAAACAGATTGATGCAATGAGCACTGGGACCTTTCTTCCAAATACAGACTGCATTGTAGATTCCCCGGTGTAAATAAGTTTATCTTCCATTTTCCACCACGCACAGGCAAGAGATTGACCTAGACCTTATATTCGGCCGAATAATATGTACATGCGTGCATAGGGCGTACGTATTGTTCGTTTGCTCAGTGTTGCATCAAGTGGGTCAGTGAAGGAAATATGCATAGGGAAGCCTGTGTTCCCTTCTTCCAAGTGAAAAGACAAAAATATTTGAAAGAAGAGCATTCGGAAATAAAGAAAGATGTTGCCACAGGAATTAGAAATATAAAAGTGATTCCCGCACAAAGAATTTTGTGAAACCCTAAACCGAATACAGCACTGGGCTCCGAAACTCGAAAGCATCGCGTGTTGCGAATAACGATATCACATAGAGGCTACAATGTATTATATTGGGCGAGTATGGGCGAGTTATGCAATCGAGACGCTTGCCTTCGGTCGCAGTGCGCGATGCTTTTGAGTTACTGGGCCAGGTATTGCAAATCTCCAAATTTCGGAAAACGAGTTGCTGACCACATGTAGCAGCATTCTTTATTTCAGTATTCACAAAGGGTCCAGAAGGAGGAATTTCAGCACTTCCAGTTGAACTCATAATAAATTAACTTGAATTGACCATCTTACCTAAATCCGTAGGAAAGAGGCAAAAAATAAATCATACAAAGTCCACAGGGCCAGGCGGAATACACTAAAGAGTCCTCTAAGAATGTAAGTAACATTGTGGTACATGTATTCTTTTAATATAATTCAACACGTTATTGGATCAGGGAGAATATCCCAGTGTATGGAAAAATAGCCATTTTCTCAGTCATTTACAAAAAAAGGGGCAGTCCCCCCCCCCCCCAGGAACTATAGACCTGTTATTTTAACCTGTACTTGCTATAAAACCATGAGACATCTGATCTCATACAATTTACAATCAGATAGACAATATGGGTTTATTCCTAACTGATCAACGGTGTTACAACTTCTAACTGTGATGGAGGAATGGAAGGACATTGTAGATATAGGGAGGGAGAATTGGCGTTAGACTTTCTTAAGGTGTTAAACAAAGTATCCCATCTTAGACTACTGAACAAATATTCATGGTATCCCGGAGTATTTGATACCTTGGACTAGAGCATTCCTAATAGGAAGGAAACAGAAAGTGAGAATTCAAGGAGCCTTTTCGAACTGGAAAAATAATTAGTGAATAGTGGTATCCTACCTGGATTGGTTCTTGGTTCTATGTTTTTCGTGTTGTACATTAAAGGCCTCCCTGATACAGCAACAAATCAAATGGATCTACTGTTTTCTCATTTGCCTAGAAATACTGGTGTCAGGAAATCAGCTTAAACCTTATTATATTTCAACGGTTATCGAAAACGTGACCATTGGGCATTTCAATTCTGTGACCTGTGGCAACCTCGTTACTCCATTTTTTGGACGATCAATGATTAAAAGGGACGCTTGATCTACTCTGGTGTGAGTACAAATCTATGTCGTTTAAAACAGAGTTTGACAGTATCAGTTTTTTGCCAACGGGCGCACCATTAGTCTTTGCCTGTGGTACAGTCCCGCTGTAAAGTCCCTTTACTTACTCTGCGGGTCCCTGCGGGTTGTTCATACGGCCTGGCGCGGTAACCATGGAAATAACATTGTCATCCATGCGCTGTTTGGTTTCTATTAACAATAGTTCCAATAGTATAAAACACGCCCTACCTCATTTGGCGGCACATTCGTCCACTCACGATGTTCAACCTTTTACAGGTAAATATTGGCTTGGTTGGTTTGCTTTTTGTTATATTAGAGTTTAATTTAGTCTTATTTTGTTGTAAAGATAAGTATTTTAGTTCGTTTAGTTCATTTTTATTTTGTGACCATACTAACGTGCATATTTCGGTATTTTGAAGGACTGTGATCAAAACAAAACTTTTCGCGTTTCTCTTTTGGCCAGTATATATTGTCCACGACTATTTACTTGTTATGATATGTCTGCAATGTTGAATTGTCTCGCAGAAATTACTCTTCTTTGATACAATAAAAGGGACGGAAGCCTTATGTCTATTCTTGTATAAAAGTGTAAATAGATTTTTATTGCTCGTCGTCTTCTAGTCAATCTGGAATGTATTTTTCAGCTACATGTACATATAATTACATATGACACTACTACGTTAATACGATATAAAGGGTTCGATCTAGAATATTCATGTAAAACAAACCGTTAATGTTAATAACGCCATATTCCTTTATGTGCATCTATTCTAATAGTTACATTTCCTAGCAAAATTTAAAAATAGATATATCATTGGGTATTATCAATACCAACGTACATATATGTGTTATTGACATCAGTAACCATGTACAAACACGTGTTCTCATTGGTTAGTTGCTCATACTTCCATGGAGTCCCGTGACATTTCGTAGAGTGCTGGCAGCAGAGTTAATGGTAAAAATCGCCACGGCCATTTGCCTCCTAACAAGCCGCCACTGTTTCATCTGTTCGTCTGGTGCTTTGCTCTCTATGTCAAACAGTGCGTCGGTGAGCCCAGGGAATCCCGAGCTGGCGTAGGTGTTCTTACTGCTCGGTGCGAATATAACGTGCCTGTAATGGAGAAGAAGAGTAAGGCAGTGTTTTTCGAGTGCCGTGCGTGTGTGTGTGAGAGAGAGAGAGAGAGAGAGAGAGAGAGAGAGAGAGAAAGAAGGAAATGAGGGTAGTGTGAAATTTCAAAAGTATAATGAGAGAGAGAGAGAGGACCGAGAGGAGAATACAATTTTGTAAATAATTCAAAAATAAGGAAAGAAGAAGAAGAAGAGAAAGAGTGGCAAGGTAGGCAATCATGACCAGTTAACTATTTCACTTCTGAAGTTAGTTATACACACTTCATGAGAGGCCGACCGGGCAGCCCAGCGGGATCAGTGAACCCACGCTCTAACAGCATCATCTGGTCATTAACACGTCTCACGGCAAAAGGGCTGGAATGGTAAATCGAAGAATTAGACATTTAAAAACAGTGCTGGTTTTGATCGTCAGATGGCGCAAGTGAGCGTCCCGACGGCCAAAAATGTGACTTCCTTCTTGTTTTTTATCTCTTGAATCGTATAATACACCGTAACATAAAAATAGTGCCAAAAACATTCAAGAACATTTTGTCACTGGGTAGAAAGATCTCGCCCAATTTCTTAGGAGATCCGACAATACTAATATGCGACATGCGTGTCACTATTTCATGATCTATTTATTCCCTTACGGAATCAGATAGTTTCCTGTTTGAAAAGGGGGCAATATCCATCACCTATCCATGAGAAAAATAAATTTAATTATGTAATATACAGGGGCGGATTTAGGCCGTCTTCTGGGTCTTCCAGAAGACGGTCAGATTTTCAAGTTTACATTGACGGGTATCCAATTTTTAATGTTGGAAGACGGTCAAAATTGGAGGATGAATCAACAAAGATAATTTGGAAGACTGTCAGTATATAGCTCTGGATCCGCCCCTGATATATTATCTTCCATGTACATAGCAGCTTATATAAATACCAATTATATCACCCTGTGGTATACATATGCGTTAGTGATTGATTGCAGTAGGGTGTCAAATTCGAATTGTTAACTTACTCTTTCTTGTTAACTTTTTGTATTCCTTCATGAAAGGCGTCTGCAACACGTCGAAATTCGTTCACTGCTGTGCTCAGATTTGCTGGCAAAAAGAGTGATCGTTTAGAATTAACAAACAAATAGGTAACATCATTATAAAAGTATCGCTGATGACAACAAGACAATGTTTTCTACTGCATGCCTGCCAAGTGGACAGGATACACCTGTTGTGTCTTTTAAAGAAATAGCATAAAGCAAGCATGTCTATTGTCTAATCCATCCATTTTTTCATACAGCGCAAAAGGAAACATTTGAAGGTGGAAGTGTATTTAAAGATACAGTTGTGCCTTAGTCCTGCTGCCACTGCTAAAATAAAACAATGGCCTTGTTTATAGCCGGAGTGCACTAGTGTAAGTAAGGCCTAATAAACGAAATGGCAGTTTGTGACTTGGAACCACAGACTTGTGATTACAATCTCTGAATTATTGGCCAAAACTGCGCTCTGAGGTACTTCTTGTCATGATACACTGCGAACCTCAAGTCCCCCCATCGTTGTCCGTTAAAATGCAACGTAACTTACCTAAAGAAACACCATTACTGTTCAGCCAGGTCTCGTTATTTGCTTCTTTGAATTTCTGGAGCATGGTTTCAAGTTTAGTTGCATATCCTCTGACGTCCATTGGCAGTATGACGGTGTCCGCCATGTACCTGGCAATCTCACCACAGATACGACAGAGCGACTGGTGCCATTTAAATGTGGGATCAGTGTAGTTAGTTACCAAGAGGAAAGTTTCGTAAACAGAGTGATACAGAGGGTAACTGGATATGGCCCATTCTTCCTATGTAAATAAGAAATGTTTTAGAGTATCGTTTTTCTGGTGTCTTATTTCAAGACAGATTTGCCGACATAACGGCACTTAAAATTTGTACCGCAGTAAATTTGTTGTTGGTCATATCACTAAATATATAGAAAGACAAATTAAAACACACGACTTTCAGAGTTCAAAATAAATATCATATTTGATACTGGCTGTTTTGATTTCCCATAACTTTTTTTTTTATTTTTTTATTTTTTTTTTTTATTGTTTTTATTACCCATTTTACAGAGGAATGCCATTTTACATAACAAAATTTTACATTAAATCCTGAAATATTAATGAGACAATATGCAAATTTCTATGTCTTATAATATTGTACCTCCTTTCCCATAACTTTTTACAATTCGTAAGTTCAATTATTTAATAATTTAGAAATAAAATAAAGATCACCCTTACATAGATAATTTTCTAGAACGATAACGATAACGCGTAATTTATTAATAAACTTACGTCATCAAAAGTGTAGCTCAAATCAACTGCAGGAATCCCGGCTCTTTGGAAGAAGGGAGCATAGTCGCTACCCGATCCAAGGTCTCGGATCCTTTTATAAAAACGTAACTTTTTAATTAATATAATCACTCAATATCTTTAATGCTGGTTTTCATTATTTGGGGACAGTCATCTTTATTTGTATTTCCTAA